TGTGCTTTACACAATTGATGTATGTGTGGATTGTGTTAAGAGTGGTATGAGCCCCTACTAAAACGATTAAAAAAAAATAATAAGAATAAGATGAGCTGGAAGAAGGGAAAGTGGGAGTTGTTCAATGGGTACAGTGTTTCAGTTTGGGGTGATATAACTGGAAACAAACAGTAGTGATGGTTAAACAACATTGTAAACACACATAATGCCATTGCATTGTACACTCAAATAAGGATGGAGATGTTAAGTAAATGTTATTGTACATGATCTACCTGCACAAATTAAAAGTACACAACAAAGCCATGCATGAGTCAAGACAGAACACAGAGCAACTTCAAGATTTACATTTGTTCAAGATAGAACTTTGCAAGTTAACGCCGCATTGAAGTTCGAGTGGGATCCATATATACATCAGAGCTACTACCTTTATGCTGGGGTCTAGGTTTAAGAAACAGGAAAGGCTTAGGGACTCACAGAACTGGACTCTGAATATGAATCATCTATCTTTAGCATAATAAATGCTTTCCAACAAAAGTTGACCATTTTGGAAAAGGGAAGAATGACTGGGGTTCTTCCAGCTGGAACTTTACCTCGAACTGCTGGGTAGCATTTTCCTTTTGGTTCCCCGATAAGCATCTTCCATCTGTTTCTCTAGTTCTCTGATTTTCCACATATCCGATTCCTCCTGAATCTAGATTTTAAAAGGAAAAGGGGAGGGACAAAAATAAGTTATTAAAAATGATACTTTGCATCATACAGGAGTACTGAAAATAAAGTTCACATTAATTATTGAGTTACAACCACACCCACGCCCAACTTAATGGTTCTATCTTAATGACAGTTCCCATGTTCACTCTCCTCTCCCTTATCACTCTGCCTGAAGCCCATGGGGTATAGGGGTGGGAGCTGTGTCCTGCCCACCCTGGGCTCATCCTCTGTCTACCCAGCCCCACAAAGCCCCTTCCCACCTTCCCCTACTGACCTCCTATATGCGGGCCCTTTCCCAGCCTCCGGGTGCCTGCTTTGCTTCGTCCCATGACTTCTTTGGACAGACCAAGACAGCTCAGGCAAACGGCAATAGGAACCCAGTAGGCCACTATCCTCTAGGATGCTAAGTAACAACAGTGCTTTAAAAAATTTTTTCAGGGCTTTAAATATATTGCTCAGGGTTGCCCTTGGAGAGTGACCCAGCAAGGGGCCAGCTGGATCAATGGAGACACTACCTGAGAGGTTGTTTCCAAATTGTTGTAAATGTGAAATGTCAAATAAGGAGATAGTCAATAAGTCAGGAGTAGATATTGGTTATGATCAGAGACCTAATCATAACTCTGGTTCTCTGTAGAATGGTGAACCAATCAGACCCAGTAAATTCCGAATACTTATGATTCTGCAGCAATTGAACTTTCTGACCCCTACAAATAGTTACCACATTCCCAATTTTGTAACTGTGCTACAATTAGGAAATGAAAATTTAATGTTTCTAAATGCTTTATGATATTTGAGATAGTTAAGGTTTATTGTGCCAACCTGGCCAATAAACACATGTGGGATTAACTGAAGGGCAGAGATAAATGGCTCGGTGAGCCTCACCCTTCTGGTTCTCGAGTCTTGCTCTGATGGTCGGACCAAGGTGCAGCTGCCTTAGCCAGTTCCTTGCTTCAGCTGGCAAAGCTCACTTCCTGCGAGACATCCCTGAGGAGAAGCCACATGGACCTGCCCTGATGCAGCCCTGGGTGCTGGAGCAGCCACGTGGAGACCCCTGCCAGCGCTGAGATGCTTACACGCTCACTGATTCGGCTTTCCTCCTGCAGTTGGCGTCATTGTGTATGTTTTATGAGATTGAGGATGACTTTGTAGATCGGAGTCAAGACATATGGGCTAATGTTGGACTTATGGGCTTGGACAGCACTGGGTTGGGATGCTTTCTTAATGTACACTTATACCCAAAATTCAGAGATAATAAATTATTTGACAAAGTAAAAGACAAAAACTAGTAATGACATGTCCTAAAACTCGCCAAGCTGAGTCTCTTTTCAAAGTATTATACTTCTTGTCAAAAATTAAAAACAAAACAAAAACTTAAGCAAAATAAATTGAATGATTGCTAGAGAATTTCTTTAGAAGCAGATTATAACAACCCAAAGGAATAGAATATATTTCAATTCTGCATGATTTTGTAAACTCTATGCTGTCTTTCTTAACCACTATTTTCAAATCTAAGTTCACCATGCAACTAGGAATAGTTAACATAACTGACAATCAAAATTAGGTAATATGATAGTAATAGCATTTATTATCAAATTAAGCGCCATATACGGAAGAAAACCAGAATTCTTGGCCCTAGGTGAGCTGGCTCAGTAACATCATCTACTCCCAAGACTTCTCTGCTGTTGTTAGGTGCCGTCTGTGGAATCGTACTCATAACCACCCTCTGTGGCATCATAAGGTTTTCTAAGCTGTACTCTTTACTAGAGCAGATTGCCAAGGCTTTGTCCCACGACCACCTACCTACATACCAGGAATTCCAAGTCAGTATGTCTAGACCCAATGTTCTCCTTTCCTCTAAGCCAAAACTGCCAATGTGTCAACACCCTCGAAGCAGCTCACAAGTAAACTGAACTACCCTGTTTCCCCAAAAATGACAGCGTCTTATATTAATTTTTGCTCCCAAAGATGCACTAGGTCTTATTTCCAGGGATGTCTTATTTTTCCATGAAGAAGAATATGGTACACATTTATTGTTTAATTAAGAGACCTCGCACTTCCTGTCTGCTCCGGCTGCACTGCGGCCAACAGTGAGCTGTGCAGCGGTGCCCGCTGCTACGGTCGAGTCCAGAGTTACAGTAGCTTCGGAGGGCCTTATTTTGGGGGGGATGCCTTATATTTCAGCGAGAGGCAAACTGTAAGTAGGTCTTATTTTCGGGGGATGTCTTACTTTCGGGGAAACAGGGTAATTACCTTCCCTAGATTTATCCTTGTTCCTTTTACTACCTCGATTCATGGTATTACCCAGTCACACCCTTGCTGGTTTTATCTAATTCCATTCTTATCACTGTCATCTAATCAGCCACCAGCTTCTTTTACATCCTAATTCCTCTTTTTTTTAAAATTCTTATTCTTTATCCCTAAAGTTACAGATTTTTTTGGGGGGGGTAGAGCCTAGCATTTTATTTAGCTCTTCGTTAAACTGTTGGAACTGATAACCAGACATACGTAATAAACCTCCAAAAGTAGATCCTGAGAGGCACTTTCTGCTTAGGGCAAGCAGTCAGAGAGTGTAAACAAGCTGGCTTCTTCTGTTACCACACCAGCCACGTCAGCCTCTCCAGGCTCTGCCAGCTCTCCCAGCTTTGCCCTCCCTTCTGTGAACACCAGCCAGACCCCGTGTAGGCTTAACCCAAGGTTTTTCTGTAAGACACCTTGGCCTACCTGGGAATGCTGGAAACATGTTAAAGGAATTATGGTGTTGAGAGGGGGAAAAAGAAAAACCTTTTAAGAAGCTATCATCTGAGGTGATGGCTTCTCCGTACTTAAGTCACAGCTTTTATTCAAACCCTCATCATGTCCTGCCTGGAACACTGCAGATGCCTAGTTGCCTTTCACCTCTCCTCTACCCCCAGCTGATAAATCATTTTTCAAAGATACAAATATATAATACCCTTGCTTAAAAACCTTGGAAGGTTTCTTTTTGTTTTAACTGCCTACAGGAAAGCCTCCTTTTTCAATCCTCACACCAACCAAAATACCAAACCCACAGCCATCCAGTAGTTTCCAACTCACAGCAGCTCTCTATAGGGTTTCGGAGACTAAGAGTCTTAACGGAGCTGCCAGCCTCATCTTTCAATGGGCAGCTGGTGGGTCTAAACTGCTGACCTTATGATTAGCAGCCCAACCCTTACCCGATAGCGCCACCTGGCCTCCTTAATCATTGCATCGCAGTCTCCCAACTATGTAAGCTTCCACTCAGACTTCATCTTCTCCACTACCGTGGGACCTATTCTCTAGATGCACTTTTTTTTTGGGGGGTGGGGGGTGGGACAAATCCCAAGTGCTATATGTTCTTCCTTGAGGCCATGTTAGTATACGATGCTCTGTCTATCCAGGATCTTTTTTTTTTTAACATTTTACTGGGGACAATCCATACATCCATCCATTGTGTCAAGGACATTTGTACATTTATTGTCATCATCATTCTCAAAGCAATTTCTACTTGAGCCCTTGGTAGCAGCTCCTCATTTTCCCCACCTAGGATCTCCCCCTCCCCCACCCACCCCCACCTTTCTACTCAAGATGGAGAAGACAGCCGTGTTAAGAACATCCCCCACAGAGCACTGGGGTAGGGAGCCAAGCCACCCACAGAGCTGTTGTCACGTTGGCTCTCATGTACATGACCAGGCACTAGTCTCTGTCAAAGTGCCCCTGGCACAAGGAAGGGAACAGCAGCTTCTGTGCCATCCCCATAGGTCACTGTGATCCAGAGGCTGATTTTCTCCTCCGCCTCAGACTAGAAGCTGAAACCTTTCCTGAGTCTGACCGAGCAATTGTGCACACCCAGATGGGTGCATTGGCTGGGAGATGAAGAATCCTGGTTTCCTGCTTGCAACATGAGAAAGCTTGAAAGGTTCTTTGTGTTTTTGTTTTGGCTTTTGGTGAAAATTTACAGAGCAAATTAGTTTTACAATCAACAATTCATACACAAATGATTCCGACATTGGTGGAAATCTCCGCAAAGTGTCAGCACTCTCCATATTCCCACCCTGGGATCCATTTCTAACCACCCACTTTCCCTGCCCTACCTTCTCTTCTTCTGTCTTTGGGCAAATGGTGCCTTTCGGCTTCATAAATTTGGTGGTTAAATACGGGCACCTTCCTCACTAGTGTGATTGTTTTTTACAGGCCAGTCCATTCTTTGGTTGAGATGTAACCTCTGGGAGTGGCTTCTGCCCCTCACTGGAAGACTGACTTAGGGCATTAATCTCAGACCAGTGAATCATGTCTTTTTGATTGATTTGAGTTGTGTTGTATAGTTTCCTCGCATTCTAAACCTTCTATTGAGTCCTGGGCCAGGTGGTGAAAATGATAGCTGGGCATTTAGCTCTGGTCTCAGGCCAGGAGGCTATGGTTCATGTGGGCCTTAGTCCAGGGGACTACTTACTTTTCCGAGTCTTTGGTTCTCTGCTCCAGGTGTGAAAACACCAACAGCTGTGTGTTAGATGGCTGCTCCGGGGCTTTTAACACCCCAGACTCCTCCCCAAACTGGGGTGTAGAGCATTTTCTTTATTTTCTCTGTCATGTCAATCGATCTAGATGTCCCCAAGTCTGTAGTCATTAGCCCTCAAGCTCAGCAGCTCAATCCCACAAGATGTTGGGTTCAGTCTACGAAGTTTTTATAGATATGCCCCATGTGTGCTCTATCACATATATGAATATACAGGCAGAACAGCAGGATGATCTTCTGCACATAGTAAACTCGTACCCATTCATCAAGACTCAGTTCAAACAGCAGCAGCTCAAATATCTCCTCTGCAAAATCTGTGCTAGTTTCCCAGTGTAGGTTTCATTATTCATCTTTCCTCCCTCGATGCTCTGCAGCACTTTCTGTCTCTATGATAGTCACTCTCCAACTACAGTCATTACTTATTTTATTCACCTTTCTATCTCCCAACGGTGTCAAAATACTGCTTGACACGGTGCCTGCCCTCAACAAGAGCTAAGGAGTGGCTGGGTTGTGTCCCCCACCTTATTGTGAGCATCTGTATGCCGGATGACATTTCTCAGGAGGACTTTGCCCAGTGGAACCCGGGACATTCTTCAACCTGAAAAGGAATCAGGAAGGAACACTTAATCATAATAAGATTTATTACCCTATTCTGCATTAGCTTTCTTTTTTTAATTTTGTTTTGTTTTTAAAGTTTTCTTAAGAGAATGGAGCAAACGATACCTGAACTAGAAGTCAGAAAACCCTGAGGAACTGTCAGTGTAGAACACTCTTTATGTTCGTTATGTTAATTGATCTAGATTGTCCCCCAAACCTGTAGTCCTTTGCTCTCAAGCCCAATAACCCAGTCCCACAACTTTCTGATACGCTTCAACCCCTGAATTATATGTGAATTATGCCAATAAAATTATTTAAGTTTTGTATATAAACTGCTTTCTTAGACATGAGTCTCTCTAAATTTTTCCTCTAGTCAACCCAGACTAACACATCTCTCATGTTCACAAAGAGGACTTTTGTTCCTTCAAACACTGAATGAAAACCCTGTACTTCCTTTGGATTTGATTAACTGAAGGCATGTACTCCATTCGGCATCAACTACTGTGAGCAAGAGGTTAGACATGAGGTCATCCCACCCAAATGGAAATGCATTTTCTGATGAGTGTGTGTGGGTAAGGAACATTGAATGCTTGGGAGACAGCCAACAATAGCCACTATCTGTATTTCTATCCTAATAAACTTTGAGATAAACTCTCAAAAAATCATTTAAGTTTTTAAAAATGTTTTGTAAATAAAAAAAAATTAAAATGTTAACGAAATAAAAAAGTCCTGAGGAGACGGTGTTGAAACCCTTTGACTCGGCACAAGAGCACAGAACGTGCAGCTTCACGAGCACCGTGTCACGTCGGCCTCGCAGCTCTGCCCAGGCGGCCGGCATCTCCCCCTATTCGGCAGGCGCGGCCCTGAGGTCAAACTGCCCCCAGCTACAGTCTCGGGCACAGGGCGTCATCAATGTCCACGCCGGAGAACCTCCCTGAATACCAGTTTTTGTCGAAGTAACTCAGGACGCCCGAGTGTCAATAACCACAAATGTCAACTGTCATGGAAACGAACCCCTCAAACCACCAGATGCAGAATGACGTTTCTCGACTCAAGCGGATCTCCCCACTTTCTGAAAAGGCTCCAAGAACTCGTGGTCCCGGAGATTCCCAGCTAACGGGCTTCGGGCAACCACCCCAGCGCTCACTCACCCCTCGATCCTGAGGAAATCAGGCATCTTGTTAGTGGGAGACGAAGAACCACTCCATTACAAGCTCTCCTCCGACTCAGGAAGCCAACGAGTCAGGGCGCAGAGGCAACTCTGCAACTTCACCCGCCTCCTTCGTGAGCTCGCGGCCTGCGCCCCGGGCGCTCGCCCTCAGCCTTCCCCCCGCCCGGGCCGAAGGGCGGCGGGCAGCGCTCCCTCCGCGACGCAGGCCCGAGGCGGCGCCGGCATTCCCCGCTCCCGCTCCGGCTCCGCGGGGTGGGCCCCAGGGGCTGGGTTTCGCTCCCCGCAAAGGACGGGACGCCGGGGAGGGCCACGACCTTCCGGCGGGGCCCCAGGCAGCGTCTAGGGTGACTGCAGCGGGGGTGGAGGTCTCCGATTGGAAGACAGAGAAAATCCTCCCATCCTTGTCACCGAGGTCCCTGTCTCTCTGCAGCCTCGGGGTTCCTGCCAACCTTCCCCCCAAACGCCCTCCCCACCCAAACACACACACACACACCCATACCGTGCGCCGTAGCCTCGCGTGGCGGGGGTGGGGTTGGGGGGCGGAAGCGCTCTGAGAGAAAGAGGAGGCTTCCCTTTCAGACCGGAAGTCGTACTGCGAAGAAATTCTTCCCCGCCACAGGAGGCCCAGTCTGCCGCAGGGAAGGTTTTCAAAACGCTCCAGAGACGGACGGATGCGGACGGCGCTTCCCTGGTTAACACGGGATGAGCCCGGCTGAAAAAGCAAGCCCAGCACGGGGAAAGGTAGATGCCGGAACGCGATGTACAGAGAGACTGCCCGGAGCAACCCGGACTCAATTAGGCGTTGCACACGGCCGTTACCCTGGTAACGGGCGTCGCTGTGGCTCAAGGAAGCTGGAGGTGGGCTGTCTGATCCCTGGGTTGTCCGTTAGTTAAATTTAGTCCAGTAGTCGAAGAATCCAAACCTCCCATTTTCTTCATTCGGTGGGAAGTGGGGAACACCTCGCCAGTGGGCGTTGGACTAGGAACATCGGCATAGTTTTATAGATATACTATTATCCCTCTGATGTAGTGTATTTTCCCATTCTAGTCACATGGCTTTTATTACTTTGTTTAATCCTCACAAGAACACTGCGAGATAGGTGTTAATAATTTTCACTTTCGTGAGGGGAAAAACGAGTCACGTATCAATTGCATATGTAAAAGTGATAGAACTAAGATTAGAAGCTGGGTTTTCTAGTTCCAAAGTCCGTGCTCTTAATGGGTAAACTGTATAGTAAAGATTGAGGGGATCACATATGCACTTTACCCTGCACCCCGCACCTTTGGCAGTTTCAGGACTTGCGTGCGAGGCCTCAAACAGCCCCTACCCAGGGACTGGGCCAAGAGGCTCACCAAGAAACTAGGCTGAGAATGACGACTTTTTCCTATGCGTACTTGAGGCTCGCTCTCTCTCTTTTTAAAATCATTTTATTGGGGGCTATTACAGCTCTTATCACAATCCATCCATACATCCATTGTGTCAACCACATTTGAATATCTCTTTTCACATCATTCTCAGAACATTTGCTTTCTACTTGAGCCCTTGGTATCAGCTCATTTTTCCCCTCCCTCCCTCACAAACCCTTGATAATATAAAAAAAATTTTTTTCATGTCTCACACTGACCAATGTCTCCCACATTCCCCTTACCCTCCTGGTATGGCTACTCTCATTATTAGTCCTGATGGTTTTATCTGTCCTGGATTCCGTGTTTGAGCTCTTATCTGTACCCATGTACATGCTCTGGTCTAGCCGGATTTGTAAGGTAGAATTGAGGTCATGATAGTGGGGGTGGGGGAACATTAAAGAACTAAAGAAAAAAGGTATGTTTCAACAGTGCTATACTGTACCCTGACTGGCTCATCTCTTCCTTGTGACCCTTCTGTAAGCGGATGTCCAGTTGTCTACAGATGGGCTTTGGGTCTCCACTCTGCACTCCCCCTCATTCACATTGATAGAATTTTTTGTTCTGGCTTTGATGTGTGATACCTGATCCCATCGGCACCTCATGGTCACACAGGCTGGTGTGCTTCTTCCCTGTGGACTTTGTTGCTTTGTACTTAAGGTTCTAAGGAGAGGTAGGGCCTTATTTGAGAAGATAATTAGAGAATTTAGGAAAGGGTACTAGATAATTGGCGCATAAAGAAATGATGCAATGGTAATGAGCCATAGTCTTTGAGGTGCTAAGACTTCACCAAAACAATTCCTCACCACTTCCTTCTCCCCACCAAAGAAGAAAGGAACCAGTACACACACAATCACTCACTCACACACACACACACACACAGATCAATCACACACACACACACACTTTTTTTTTTTATAGTTGCATCTTTATTAGAAAGTCTCAGCTGCCAACTTAGCGTTTTCCACCAACCCGGGGAGCGGACACTTTCACAGGCTTCACAATCTTTTGCTTCGGTGCTGCTTTTGTGGGGGCCTTAGTAGTGGCCATTGCTGTCTTTTTAGAAGCCTGCTTTGCCTTTTTTGCTTCCTTGGCAGCCCTGATGGCCTGCTCTCGTTGGGCCTTTCTAACCTCAGGTTTCTGATTCCTCTTGGCCATTATATCAGCAAGAGATGCACCAGTGATGGCTCTCTGGAATTTGACTGCACGGCGGGTTCTTTTCTTTTGGATTTCTTCTGACTGCCCCTTCTTGTGCTTCCTCCTGTAGAGCACCGTCCAGTTGATCTGCCGAGGGTTCCTCTTGGAGAGGAATGCCGACTCGCATTTTGCGTTAAGGAACTGGAAAACCTTGCCATCGGTCCTGGCGTAGCGCCGCCCGTGCCAGGGGTAAATCTTGTACCCGCTGAAGCTGCACAGCTCGACCTTCATGGCTGCGGCAGCACAGGGCCGGGGAAGACGGTGAAGAGGAGACACACACACTCTTATATCTTGTCTTTTCATAGATTAAAGAGGCCATTCATCATCATCAATCATGGACGTACCCTCAAAGGGTCTTCTCACCCAGGTTACTCAATTCTGGAACCTCCTGGATGACCTGGCTGAAAGTGACCCCGAGCGCTATGAGAAGTTCATTCAACAGCAGCTGAGAGAGGGGAAACAGCTCTGCGCTGCCCCAGAACCACACCTCTGTCTGCAGACCAGGATCTTGGTGTGTACCCTCTGGAAGCCAGGGATCGGGCGGAGCGCCGGAACAAAATGTCCTCAAGTAACAGAAAATAGCCTGCTCTTAGCGAGTACTACTTGAACAGTGGAAAACTTAGGAAAAACTGCCACTCGAAACAGGAAATTTAAAGTAATGTGGAAGACTATATTCAAAGAGAAAATGTAGAAAATTCATAGTCAAAATATATTTTAGCAACTGGAAACACAGGGAACCCAGGGCGGATGATCCCTTCAGGACCAGTGGTGTGAGTGGCGACACTGGGAGGGTAGAGGGAGAGTGGGTAGGAAAGAGGGAACCGATAACAAGGATCTACATGTGACCTCCTCCCTGGGGAGCAACAGAAAAGTGGGTGAAGGGAGACGTCGGACAGTGCAAGATATGACAAAATAATAATTTATAAATTATCAAGGGCTCATAAGTGAGGGGAGAGGGGAGGGGGAAAATGAGGACCTGATGCCGGGGGCTTAAGTGGAGAGCAAATGTGACCCAGTAGAAGAACAGAGTAGAACTGCCCCCTTGGGTTTCCAAGACTATTAATCTTTATGGGAGTGGATAACCTTATCTTAATTCAAACCACTGCTTTTGCGTTTAGCGGCTCAGCACATAGCACACTGTGCCACCAGGACTACTTTTAGAAGGGTAAGGAGTGATGAGGTAAGGTGCTTCAGCAAATCCTCCAGCTTAGCTAAATTCCTCTTCCCCACCGCTACCAGTTCATTCTGAACACAGAATTTGAATTCTTCAGGAAAAGATAGCTTTGGAGAAATCAAGTGGTAGTAGTAGTAGTCGTAGTAGTTGTTTTGAAAACTGTTCTAAGATAACATGGTTTTTTAAAAATTATACTTTTATGGGGGGCTCTTACATCTCATCACAATCCATAAGGATAACATGTTTTTAAAGTTTTATTATTTGGAATGACTTAAAATTCGCCCCTTTCCAACACTGTGATAAGTGGCCTCTAGAATGTGATTTAAAAATAAGCTAAATTTTGATATATGCAAGATCATTTGTTTTCTAGAAACCAAAAGGAAAAACACTTTTCATTAATCTATGCCAGTGGAAAAGGGTCCCGGCTCCCCAGTCAGCTACACAGCCAGTGCCTCTAAGTGTCGGCCGGCCAGAAGATATTTCTGAAACATCAGGTACAGAGAATTCTATGAAAGGAAGCACATTTAATTTTTTTAATTGGGGATAGAATTGATTGTGGATCCGATTTTACCTGGTAAAGGGCATTTCAAGTAAAATAGTTTATTTGGGAATGAGTGTACCTTTATGCTCACTGAAGGCTTTTCCATTTTTCTAACAGTATGAGCTATTTTTAACCATATAGGAATGCTAATAAATGAACTAGTTGGGATTTGTATTTTTAGCACCATTGCGATTACCTCTGAAAAACACAGGGATGAACGCTATACTTTATTAACAATATCATTATGAACCAAAGTCAAGTTGTCTTCCTTTCACACCCTCTGCATCACACACAGCTGTCTACACAGTCATCGATGTTGCCTGCCATCCTGATATTCTGCAGGCAGCAGGAAAGGACCGGGTGGAAAAGGATCGGTTGGTAAGGATGGCCATGAAATGCATTGAGGAGAGGCTCCAATGGACTCTCTCACCTTCCTACCATATTACAAAATTTCAAATAAAAGGAAGCATTCAGAGGATGAAGCAAAATCTGATGGGAATCCAAAATGATTCTACAGATTTGAGAGAGAAAATGAGAAAGGGTAAGTTGATGTAAAAGAAAAATTAAACTTATTTAAGAGTTTTGCATCCTGTGTACATGTGTTAGCCAGGATGACTAGAAACAAATCGAGAGATGCCCATATATATGTAAGAAAGAGCCTTATATCAAGAAGTAATTGTATATCAGGAAAACATCCCAGCCCAGTCCGACTCATGTGCATATATCCAACTCTTTGCAACCCTACATATGAGAGGGTAGAACTGCTCCGTAGGGTTCCCAATACTCATTCTTTTCGGGAACAGACAGCCTCATCATTCCTCCCTGGGAGCAGCACCTTGTCCAAGTCAAGTCCATATGTCAGATACTAGTCCTAAGTTCCTCTTCAGACTCACAAAGCCACCTGCAATGATGCATGCTGCAGGAACATCACCAGCAGGTGGGTGAAAAGTCCCGTGGATACAATGGCAATGGATGCCTCTCCGGAGCTCGCACAGATCTCAGTGTGGCTCTCTGGCATGAAGATGTAGGCAGGCAGAGGGGGAGGTTCCCAGGACCCTCCTTATGAGGTCACGCCCACAAGGAGGCACCATCAGACTGACCTGATTGCAAGAAATTATGTAACTCCCACAGTGTATTTTGCAAACTAGAAATCTTGTTTCTTAAAGATGAGAAATTTAGGAAAAGATAGGAAAATATGAAGGTTAGATACCATTAATATTAGAATATCCTATTCCCACCCCAACCACCACCCCTGCCCCAACCCCTGCATATTTTTAAACCATTCTTTGGTCTAAGATTCTTTTTTAAAATTCCCAAATTATTATGGAGTGCTGAGTCTCTGTGAACAATAGTGAAAAAAAATCACATTAACTAAAGGTAGAATTAAACTAATATACTTATTGTTAAAAGTTGTGCCTGTAGAAAGTTGAATTAGCCAAAGTTGTATAGATATATTTACAATGACAAAGTAGCTACTGAGGCAGCTTATGTACAACCAAACACCTCTGGGATTTATTTGGTTTCTTCATTTAGAAATTTAGAGAGGCTTCAAGAGACACCACAGTTAATCTGCCTAATAATGCGTTTAGTGTTTAGTTTTATCTCCTAATTCACTGCATAGTATCTGGGGGTCTTAAAAACTTACCAGAGGCTATCCAAGGCATCATTGGTCTCTAGTCACCTGAAGCAACAGAGGAAATGGAAGGTGGGTGATTGCCTCCATGAACAGCAGCCGCCGTTGTCACGAACTGAGACCCGGATGGCGCCCTGCTACCATTATGAAACATTTTTAATCAATGTTGTATCAAAGATTCTATAGAATAATCCTGATCAAAGTGGGGCAGGAGGCAGAACATGTAGACCAGAATTTTCAATTCTTGTGGAATCCAGATTCTGCACCCAATGGAAGCTGGATGACCCCGTGAAACTGTTACCCTGCGAGAACCTTTAAACCTTAAACCAAAAAGACCCTCAAAAATCGTCTTCAATCCAAACGATAGTTTAGCTTAACCAGTAAAGAATTTCTAGCACAGTCGTTCTGCTCATTGAAGGTCAAGCCCTGTGGAGTCTGACAACAGCATAGAGGTGGATTGCAAAGGACTTAGAGGGCAGTGAGCTTCCGTTACTGGGGAGGAACAACTCAGTCAGTGATCGCTTGCACGTAGTGTGTGTCCAAAGTGTTGAATTGGTTTTATTCTGCTGTTGCATGTTCTCAACAATGAAATAAAACAAGATTCCACAACTAATTTAGCTGCAGCCTTTCAGCCATCTCAGCTAACACTGTCTATTATAGCTCATAGCCTGATGCTAATTTATGTTGATTTTAACCCCTCCCTACCCCCTTTTTATTTCTTATAAAGAACTAACCCTTGAACAGATTAGAAATAGTTCTGTGAGCAATCCGGATGACTTTCCTCAGCTTATACTGCCAAAGGACCACGTTTCAGGCAAAGCAGCCAGTCTGATTGAGGAGATTGGCAGCACCGAGGTGGAGGTGAAGACCCCGATCTATGAATTAAAAATTGTGAAGGACCAGGATGAGAAACCTCTGAAAATTGAACTGATTGTTGAATTGCCTGGTATTGATTCAGTCTCTCTCTGTGACCTTAGTGTTTCTGAGGTAAGTTAAATACTTAACACTCTACATTTTGCTCTGTCACCTTCCTCTCTGTGCGCTAGTGCCAACAGCAACAAGACAGGGCTCTCGTTAGTTGTGACTCATGGGGAGCCTGTGTGTTACAGAGTAGAAGTGCTCCTTAGCGTTTTCCTGGCTGAAATCTTTACAGAGGCAGATGAACAGGCCTTTCCTCCAGGCTTCTGGGCAGGTTTGAACTGCTAAACCTAAGGATAGTAGTTGAGAGCAGACCATTTGTGCCAACAAGCCCTTTTGGACTTATATATACTACATTCAAATTTTTGCCTGCAGTTATTATTTTCTGCCCCAAGGTCTGAATCCTAGAAGAAGCAGAAACTGTTTTTCACTAGTACCTTCTAGTAACAATTCCCTACTCTCAGGGGCTTACCAAAATGTTCTCAGGTGGCATGTCTGTTGCAGGTCTTTTCTGTTCCATGTGTCTTACATAGCTCAAAATCTGGTATAGAAACAATTCTCATCTGAGATATACCAGTCTCATGATGGAGGGGCAGAGAAAATGCCCAAACAATAGTCTCACCCATCTGCCCCAATTCAGCATATATCACTTTTAGTCCTGTTCCACCGGCCAAAGAAGTCAGATAGCCCAGTCCCACCTCAATGCAGCTGGAAGTGTGTCAGGGCTGAGATAATTGGTCCTCTTACAGAATAGAACAAGTCTTTGGGATTAATACTTAATGTCACAGCACACTCAATTGGCCACACATATTTGTCCTTTTCCAAGGAAAACACCCCCAATCTAGTATTGGACTCCAATGTATAGGAATTTCCTCTAGAGATCAGCATTCTGTTCCTCTTGAGCCACAGACCTGTGAACTACAGAGACAAGTGATCTATATTCTCTTAACCACATCCACCATACAACAGGGACTGGAGAGAAGGTAACATAATAGCCTCAATGAAGAATGGGGGAAACAGGAAGCATTGGTACACCCAACTCTCACTGCCACAGTCAGCTCCAACTCACAGCGATCCTATGGGGGAGCTTATAACTGTCCCTCTGGGTTTCTGATACTATAACTTTTTTTTTTGACACTATAACTTTTTATGGAAGTAGAAAGCCTCAACTTTTTCCCTTGGAGCAACAGGTGGTTTCAAACTGCTGACCTTGCAGTTAGCAGCCAATGTGTAACCCACACCACCACCAGAGCTCATTTTACTGGTACACGTACCTAGCGATCCTGAAATCCTAGTAGGCAGCCGTGGTCCCTGAAGGTGGGGAATGTTCATATGTACTGTACATCCCTGGTCAAGTTTACTTGATTCCTCAGCTCCTCTTGCATTCTCCACGATCTTCAAATTCATTTGGGGGGAGGTTTTTCCTGTTTAATTATGCATTTTGGTCACCTCTGAAAAGAGCCCTAGAGAATTTGCCCTCCATAAGTACTGGCCAGCCTTCTCAGCCTGTTTCCTGCTCTGTGATTTGAAGTCAGACCCCTTTAGTCCAGACTGGGACTATATTATTGATTTGATTCAGTCAGTGCTACCACCCAGAATTTTTAAGACGTGTTCATTTTTTTCAAGACAACTTGCCTATCATAGGTCCACCCTAACCCATTGAGAAGTAAAACCAAGAAAAGAAAACACTGTGGTTTAGTCTGTCTCTACATTGTTTTAATCGGTGTTTGTTGATTATCGACTTTAAATTTTTCTTTTATTTATTTAATCGTTTTATTGGGGGCTCGTGCAACTCATCACAATCCATACATCCATCCATTGTGTAAGCACATTTGTACATTTGTTGCCATCGTTCTCAAATGAGTATTGATTCTTATAGATCTCTTGGAGGTATCAAGTTAGAATGTAGACTGACTCCATTTATCAGGAGTGGAAATGCAAAATTCCAGCAGATGGTTGGGCCAAATCGAGCTCATTTGAAGCCTCTTTACTGGTTAAAAATAAAAATCAACCCGTCTCAGAATCTCTGAGATCTGTATATTCCTCTTCTAGTTGCAAACAAAATAATGCTTTTCTGTGTGTGGGGTTTTTTTTTTGGTAGTATCTTACTAAATGTAACTAATAGAATAACTCATGCTACCATTATTCTACTTTCCCAGTTATTATAAGCCAGAAATTAGATAGCAGTTACCTTCTGAATTACTGAGCTAGTGACTAAGTCACCAGCTTCTTTCCAGGAAGTTCTCTTGTTACTTGCTGGTCAGCCCCCAAACCAATGGCGCATAATTTAGGGCTTTCAATATTGTAGCATCCTACTTTTAACACCAAATTACTACACATACTCGTGTATAAGCCGAGTTTTTTTCAGCACATTTTTAGTGCAGTTTTTATAGTAAAATTAGGTGCTTTGACTGAAATTCGAGTCAGCTTATACTGGAGTATATATGGTAGTCTACTTTTGATATATTGTGCAGCAGTAACTACCAATCGCCAAATACCCAGTTACCAGGTGGGATAGTGGGTTCTGTATCAGGCTGCTAACCACAGTCAAAAGTTTGAATCCACCAGTTACTCCGTTTAACAGTTTCTATCTTGGGAACCCACGGGGGCAATTCTACCCTGCCCTAGATCACTGTGAGTCAAGAGACTTAATAGTAGTGAGTTTTGGGTCACATAGCAGTAAATAGGGTCCTCTTATGAGGGCATGAATCAGGAACCCAATATAACACAAAATTTAACCAGGGATTATTTTCCCATTTTCATCTTTTGAAATCTCTCTTGACTTATTCCCAGGAAGATTTAATGATCGAGGTTTCTGAGAAGTACAGATTACACCTGAATCTCCCAGAACCTGTCGATGCTGAAAAGACCACAGCAAAATTTTTCAAAGAAAAAGCGACTTTAGTCATCACAATGCCACTGGTGTGAGACAGGAGTCTCATGTACTCCAGGGTTCCTTGCAGTGCTTATGCACAGTGTAGTACTTGTATTAAAGGTGAAGAGGTGGGGTGGATCTTAAATATTTCCTGAGAATCTCCTTTGAAATGAAGCTTTCTATTTTTCAAGTAAATTTGGTATCAACACAAGCCATGCTGTCTGTACGTGCTTATTTATAATGCTCTAAAGACACTTAAGTATCCTTTGAAAACCAGTTTGTTTTTAAGCAACATGAAAAAGTCCTGTGCTTTCTGTGTCAGTTTTCACGGTGCTCTAGTCAGTCTTTGCATCAGGGGAAAAAATTCGCAGGCTATGCAAGTTTTTTATTACTAAGATGGGGCATAACATTGAAAGTTATATAAAAATACAAATCCAATATACACTTATTCAAATCTATTTTTAAGAACCTCTGTATTTCTATAAAACAGCTCTGCCATGTGTCCAGGATCCTCAAACAGTTCTAAGATCAGATATGGCATTTCCTGCAGATGGCTACAAAGACACAGTAACAGTTAATGGGCTGTTATTGCATGAAAGTACAAAGACAACAGTTTGATTCCACCAGCCACTCTGTGAGAGAGAGATGTGGCTTTCTACTCCCACTCACCAGTTAGCCACCGTGGAAACCCATCTCCTGAGAAAAGGTTGCTCTGGGTATCATTTCCCAAGGAAATGGTCAGAAGAACAGAAGTGACGTACCTGTCAACTCCCACTTATCTCTGAGTTGTCAAATGGATACTCAACATGAGGTACCTACTTTCCTGGTCATATTCTAAGAAAACAATATGCACATTAACCCAGTCATCTTTTCTATAAATGAAATAGCTCGCTAATACTGTTTTTTAAGTCAACAAAACCCACCAACCTCATTTCCGTCGACGACGAACTCATAGCAAGCCATCATAGGGTGTCTGAGATTCTATCTTTACAGAAACAGGTAGCCTCATCTTTCACCAGATCAGCAGCTTGTGTTTTTGAACCACAGACCTTGCCAAACACCTTCCCCACAGTCCCACCAGGGCTCCTTAGTTCAACATTAATCCTAATTTTAACTCTTACTAAATTTTATAAGCTAATATAATTAGTATGTAACATTTAAAAGCGTAGTTGTTTCTTTAAAACATGGCCTGCACATGAAGCCTTAAACACCTGAAAATAAACAAGCAGGCATCTAGCTGAGAGACAACAAAACCCACACGGAAGAAGCACACCAGCCTGCCCCTACTCGATTGCTGAAGACAAAGGGGGTGCATTAGCAAAAGTGATGAAGAAAGCAGATGGTGCCCGGCTATCAAATGATACTACAGCTGGGGTCTTAAAGGCTTAAAGACAAACAGGTGGCCATCTAGCTAAGAAACAACAAAACCCACAAGGAAGCACACCACCCTACCCTGACACGAATGCTGAAGACAAAGCGGGTACATAAGCAAATGCGGTGAAGAAAGCTGATGGTGCCAAGCTGTCAAATTACATAGAATATGGGGTCCCACATGCTAGAAGATAAACAAGGGGCCATCTAACAGAAACAACAAAGCCCACATGGAAGCACACGTCTATAAGATGACAAGGCGGCGAAGGGGTCAGGTATCAGGCATCAAAGACCAAAAAAATAAATAAAATAACATTGTGAGTGAGGGAAAGTGCAGAGTGGGGACCCAGGGGCCATCCAGAAGAAATTGGACATCCCTTGCAGAAGGGCAGCGGGGAGGAGAGGAGCAAATCAGAGTGCAGTGTAGCAATGATGAAATATGCAATTTCCCTCTAGTTCTTAAATGCTTCCTTCCACCCACTACCATGATCCCAACTCTACCTTACATATCCGGCTGGACCGGAGGATGTACACTGGCAGATAGGAACTGCAAATACAGATGAACCCCCCAGGACCAGTGGAGAGAGTGGTGACAGCGGGAGGGTGGAGGGAAGGTGAGGGAGAAAGGGGGAACAGATGACAAGGTCTACATATGGCCTCCTCCCTGGGGGACGGACAGTGGAGAAGTAGGTGAGGGAGATGTTGGATAGGGTAAGATATAAAATAATAATTCATAAATTATCAAGGGTTCATGGGGAGGGGGGGGAAACGAGCTGACACCAAGGGCTCCAGTGGAAAGCGGGTGTTGTGAGAATAAAGTCAACATATGTACTAATGTGCTGGACACAGATGACATATGTACAGATTGTAATGAGTTATATAAGCCCCTAATAAAATGGATTATTTAATAAACAACAACAACAAACATGGCCTGCATTTGAATTCTCCTAGGACAATTTACCTCCTGGAACATTTCTAGATCTGTATGATGTCTGAAAACCAGCAAAGCCTTAGTCTTCTGTGGCGGTTACCATCCTTCCATAGCATGGCAACCTCGCGTGTGTGGAATAGAGGGTGCGCCTTAAGATTTTCATGGCTGTGACCTTTCTGAAGCAGACAGCCAGGACTTTGTCCACCTGGGTGGGATGGAACCATCAACCTTTCAGTTAGTAGTCAATCCCTTAACCATCTGCACCATCTAGGCTCCTATGGTCTCCATTCAAAACAAAAACAAAACCTATTGCCATTGAGCTGGTTTCCACTTAAGAGGCAGTACAACTGCCCCATGGCCTCCTTACAGCCCCACAAAACAAGAAAGCCTTGGAATAGCTTTATTTTTTTCGACAAAATCACTGCCAAATATATCTCCTAAGCTTTCCCCACTTACCCATCCGGAATTGAGGGAGCCTTTATTCCTGCCCTCAGCAGTGAGCTGTCACTTCGATCACTAGTCCCTATTGACAGTCTCATTATCAAACACCCATCAAGAGCTAACAGGCTTAATGTTATATTTTGTTTTTAGTTGCTATTCTAGTTATTTCCTGAAATATTTTCACTCCTAATTATTTCATTAGTTTTATAGTCTTAATATCTTTCACCTCCATCTCTCCCCCTACCCGCCACCCTGCCAAAAAAACAAACAAGCAAACTTTGTCTTGAGGGTTATTAATCAAATGTGGGCTAGGTTAAATTAGAATTCTACATTTTCTCAAAATTGGAAATTATATAAGATAAATATCAATCGTATTTTTGACTTAGAGACTGGGCATTTCTACAAAGTTGGTTTTAAAACGGTTATCACTAGTGATTATGAATTTTCCAAAGTCTTCTAGATTGTACGTATTCCTATGGGATGACTATCCCTTTGCAAGACATTCTGGCCCTGTCCCCAGGGTTGGTCGCTTCCTTTGTAGACCATGCTCTGGGATCCCCGCATTTCTTTCTTACAAACTGAGACCGGGATTGTAAAACAGACCGCACTTTCTTCTTGCTGCTATGGGTCATACTCCAGACTTCAGTGTTAAGGTTACACTTTCATAAACTCAGTCCTTACTTTACCAAATTTATAGACTCACGGTGTATCTGTATTGAGGTAAGTCTCTAGTGAGGGCTTATCAAGTACAGAGCTGTCCCTGGATTTCATCATTTAATTAAAAGAGAATCTTCAAAAGATCAAAAATTACACCAGACATGCTGAAAACAAATAGTTTAATTTTTTTAACAATCTAATTTGAATCCAAAACACTCATTTCTAATCTTTTATTGTTAAGTCCTGGTAAGAGAAAATACCTGGGTTTAGATGATAGCTCAGATTTTCGCTGAGAACAATTTTTCATTTAAAAGGTAATTGTTTATGTTTTTCTTTCAAGGGAACAAAAGAGCCGTAAGCATAAGCAAATAATGAGTTAACCTTTAAATTTCATATGTTTAAACCAGATTTGACTCATAAGGATGATGGTCCCTTGCAGTATATAGCTTTGTTCCTTCTACATGATCCTCAGTTCAAGCCAAAATTACTAATTACCAAAAACCTAATGTACTGATTTCATAATAATACAACAAGGTGAGTGAATATTTAGGGAATATATGGAGTGTCACTTGCACTTGTGCACCATGTAATAATGAATATTTAAAAATAGATTTAACACTGGAGGACTCAGAATAAATTTCAAGGCCAGCTCCACATATTACATATACAAGGAAGCACTGATCAGATCTACATTTAAATAATCCCAAACATTTATTAAAATGCACCAATTCAAGAGAAAGTCTGGAATTGTGATATATCCAGTTAATTTTTATAATTTTAATGATATCTTAAATATCATCCACTTCTTTCCCAAAGGAAAAGTAAATCATAGGAAAAGGGGGGCATGGAGGGGAAGTAAGCTGTTATGGAAAGCAAAACTACCAAGCAGCTGGTGGGTTTGAACTGCCTACCTTTTGGTTAGAAGGAGTGCTTAGCTACTATGCCACCAGGGCTTCTTTATGGTAAGGTAGCAACTTAACTACTTCTGTTCCTCTTCAGTGGGACTTAGGGCTTTGTTGTTGTACAGGAGATAACAAGGGTGGAAAAGACACAGAAGGCTGTGTGTACCTATCAGCATCTTCTCTCTTATCCAGGCAGAAATGACCTCTTTCGGGGCATAATTCTCCCCTCCTGCTTCTCAGCCAAGACTTGGTGAAAATGGATCAAGACACACATCCAACTCCAGTAACCAGATTTTACACATGCAGACTTATTCCATAGCTATTTAATACAGCCTCTCATATTTCTCTGAAAGAAAAGTTTTGATCATTCGGGTCATATGTAATGACCAGTTTGTCTTGGAGTAAAGATTCCACTTTCACAGGCTCCTTCTGTTCCAGTCTGTAAGCCCATTAATATATTTGGAGGCATAAAATTCTGATCTCAGCATAGTATATTTGTTTAAATAAATACCCACACAAAATATCAATTATACCAAGTAACTGGTTTATATTTCTTTATACCTTCATCTCAAGATGGGAGAACAATCATGTGAGGATTCGAATGAAAACGAGCAAAGAACAGCTATTGGAAATGGCTATGAAAATCTTGACTTCGGAAATTTAGCTTACTTTTCCTTGACGTTCTCTGTCCTTCCCATTCGTGCTAAGCCAAGACCGTGAAGGTGAAAATTCTAAGTTGGCATTAAGTCCCAAGATCATCCAATTCAAACACTTTCTCCAAGAATACAAATTTCCTTACCTCTTTCTTTCTGAAATTCAAGTATAGTATGTTAGGAAATCAAATCTTGGAACTTCAAATTTTCTATCAAGTTATTTTTATGTACCCGTCTCAGCAGGAACCACATTTCTGCCTTTACTACATTTCATAATGGACGACTTAGCAAGCCTAGGCCTAGGCCACGTCCGTTGACTAGGAACATATAGCATAAAATCTGGCATTTAATTTTTAAATGTGTACAATATTTGAATGTAAGCGGCATTATAAAAGTTCAGTAATGCCCATGAAAAATAACTTATCTGGACAGACTCAATAATAAAAATAACTGTTCAACTTTAAAATAAATGAACCACCTGCTTAATAACATAAATATCTTGGTAAGAATGAACCAATGTGACCTAGAAGAGTCTAGAAATTCTTGGATTAATTATAATAACATGGTGATGGGTTTTTCAAGGTACTTTCTAAACTCAGCAAGCCACTGAGCTCCAACTGCTCCATCCACAACCCGGTGGTCACAACTGAGTGTAACAGACATCATGGTAGCCACATCGAATCTAGCAAAAGATAAAAAGTTTCAGGTACTCTGAAAGCAATCATTCAATTTTAGCTACTTAACCAGCCCAAATGCTAACTCATATCCCTGAATCCCAAACAGGTAAAATCACTTTTTACCTACTCATGTTCCCTACCCCTTGAGCTAAAATTAATAGCTCAAAGAAACACACAAAACAGCCTTCTGGCAAATGGACCCGCAAACTACAGCCACCTGTTTTTCTAAATCAAGGCTTACTGGAATTCAACCAAGTCCATACATGAATGTAATGCCTACACTGCTTTCATGCAAATTCACTATTTACAACAGAGCTCAGACACCTAAACATTTACTGACTCTAAGAAAAGTGTGTTGATGCATGATCTAGTGCAAATAAGCTTCTCTCACATCGTATTTATCGTCCTTGATAAATTATGAGAAGCTGACACACTGAGGAACTCCTATCCTTTATGTCTGATTCTACTTGGGGCTCGAACATGCCCCATTAATGACTGTCTATAAAATCAAGACTCACACATAGGTATAATGAAAATGAGCTTACAACACCCTTCTCACCTTAGCACTTACCCTTTCTCATTATCTGCTGGAACCAATCTATCTTCGGAAGAACCAATTGCCAAAATACATGCTTGAGGTGGATTAATAATAGCAGAGAAATTCTTAATTCCGAACATTCCTAAATTAGAGATTGTAAAAGTACCTCCCTAGAAGAAAAAAAGATAAGAAATTAAAAGTAGGTCAAATGATTTAAATTTTTAAGTTTTACTCAGTTTTTAAAAATTTTTCCTGAAGCTTGTGTGAGTGAGGAAAAATGGCAAAGTCAGAGTGTAGAAGATCCAAGGATGCACTGTGTGACCTTAAAAATAACATCACTGTGAACAGGCAGAAGGTAAGTAGATGATGCCTTACCTGGAACTCATGCGGCTGCAGCTTACCCTCTCGAGCTTTGGTTGCTAAAGAAACTACATCGCTAGCAATGGTTTCCAGTCCTTTTATATGTGCATTAAATACAATAGGTGTGATGAGTCCTGCCGGGGTACTGACGGCAACACTGATATCAACAACATGATTTCTATTTGGAAAGAAGGAAACATAATGATCAACAACAACATTTATAAAAGCCCATGTGCCAGCTTAGGCAACAATACTGGTATTTACTTCAAAATATCTTAAAGCCAGTTTGTGCTACTGCTCAGCCAGAGATGTATTTCCTGTAAACACATTTTGCTGTGCCCTCCTTGGCTTGCACACCACCACCCCCAAACTCCCCTATACCTCAAATGACCCAAAACCTGGAAAATGGGGCACTTAGTGAAAATTATTAAGCAATCAGAAAGCCTAGGACCTTGTGAGGCCGAGGGGTTGGCTGGAATTGAATGTTTGCTGGGGGCTCGAGCAGATGAATATTAGAGCAGTGGGAAAGATCGGCCCCACAGAAGAACAAGGGAACTTATCCCATAGGGGGGTGGCGTCCCAGAAGGAAATAAGCCATTAAAGAAGGCTCTTAATTTTCTTGGCACCATGGCCAGCCCCTCTGTACTTAAGTCCCTTCTCTGAATACACAGAAAACAAAATATACTTAAATTGTAAAGATAACAACTACATTGAAATTCAATTATCAACATATTAAAAAATAAAAAATTTGATATATGTGCTTCGGTACTAACTCAAAAACAAGATCTCACAGCAGGTCAAATGATGGCTATATTCTGAGGGAGGTATTGGTGGGTCGCATACTTTCAAAGTTATCTGCAACAATTACAATGTCCTAGAAAAATAATTGACTTTATTGGAGACTAACCACGAGTACTGTGTTCTTATTTCTTTCATTTGTTTTCTGCATGTACAAGGAGTTACCCCCAAAAGCTGATGCTCATTTGTTTTTTTGATGCATTTGGATTCATTCCATCAGGTCAGACTGTTAATCACACTTTCTATTTAGAGGTTCTGAAAATATTGGGTAACAGTGTGTGACAAAAAAGACCTTTTTTGTGGCGGGCAGGGGACTGGTTTTGCTACCACAACAATGCACCTGCTCACGCCGCCATCTCAGTGCACCAGTTTTTGGCAAAAAACAGCATGCCTCTCTTGCCTCACGCACCCTTGCTCACCTGACCTTGCTCCGTGTGAATTCCTTTTATTTCCCAAAATGAAGAGGGACATGAAAGCACAGCGATTTGGCAACATGGAAGAGGTGAAGGAAGAAGTATGGGAATGCTGTCCAGTCATCCAAACAGATGAGTTCGAAAACATGTTTTCAAGAATGGAATTGCATTTGACAAATTACGTGTAACGGAGAGTACTTTGAAGATGATAAGGTTGTTTTGTAAAAAAATTTAAATACATAACTTTGAAAATTATGGGGGGGGGCCCACTCAAATAAGGAAATGGTAAATTTCAGTTAAGAAGCTGGTAGGTGAGGAAAAAAGTGAATCTTCCCCACATTTAGGCTCACAAGACTCCTGAATTGCACTGATTCCTTTGGGGGCTGGGGGGGGTGGCGTGTCCGTCGACTCAAAGGGCCCCTGATAAACTGTTCAGCATTCAAGAAGTTCTGAACTTCAGACGCATAGCTCTGTCTCCATGTGTCCAAGCCACCTGGAAGGGGGCATTGGTCATTTGCAAAATCAAGGACCTGATATAAGAAACTGTGACTTTCATCAGGCACCACAGCGGGATCTGGCCAGAGCAAACACTGCACTCTGAGGAACTTACCTTGTTTTTCTCAAGGCACCCACACATATAATGTGCATTTGGAAAATAATGCACAAGGGGTTGGTGTGATTTGTCAAAACAGAACAAAATAACAACATATTCATTGAACATGTACTATTTGTTGGATTTTATGGTGAATAAGAGAAGAAACACTATTCCGGGGCTCTTGGGAAGATTATTATCATTAATTTAACAGTAAATATAACTGGGCACTTTACTTTTACACAGATAATGCATCAACAAATATGCTAGATAGCTTATGTGTGCACACAAAATGCAACTGTTGTGAAAAAAATAATTTTGGAGACTTGCGCTGCAGTCTCAATCCTTTTATCTAGTGTTTTTATTTCCCCCAGATACTTTTAAAAGTGGATGGTTCTGTGGACAGAGTGGACAATATGGCTGATCCCACCACGAGACATGCCATCCCTTGATGGCCCCGGGTTCTAAGGGGGACAACGCTGGAGATTCAGTGTTAGGACTGGCCCAGAATGACCCTGAGACACCGAGGCAAACCACAAAAAG